CCAAAAACGTGACTATCTGGCAGAAAATCCATGTCCTAACCAGGGGTTTGTATAGGTTTAACTTTGCAAAATCTAGTATTCTTACTGCAGTGTAATTGCAAGAGAGGACATTTCTGTCTGTGCACATGTTTGCGCATGTGGATCTTCCAGTGCCTCCAGCTTAGGAACATCAAGAGCTGTGTGTTGGCTGGAAGGCTCCCCCAGGGATAAAAAGAGGGAGAAACTAATCCCTATTCCCTTACACATCCAAACTGTGTGTGTGTGCATGTAACTGTCTGTTGGTCTCTCTTTGCCTTGGCAAGCACACTCCATGGCTACTTTAGCAAAAGGCTGTTTGTACACATTAAATGACCTACGTGTTACAAGCATGCAGATTCCGTTAACGTCAGTCACTTGCATGTTTGGAAACCCTTGTTAGTTCGGTCTAAGATTGATGGGAATTTCTGTGAGAGATATAAGCTCTACCGAGGGTTTTTGTGTAATCGTGCTGAGCAGTGAAGCGTGTCGAGAGGAAGGACCTGTCCTCAGCTCTGATCACATAGCTGAGAAAAGAGAGGGAATATGAACATGAAATAAACTGATGGTGGACTGAGGACGACAGACAAAAAGCGTGAGAGCAGAGAGTGTGTAAGACACAGCAGAAAGGAGGGGCGTCACTCAGAGGGGAGAATTCCAAAGATATCTGTGGGGAAAGTGGATCGAGGTGAGGACAGAAAGCACCAACGAAAAGGGTAATGGTGGAAAAAGGAGTGACGGAGAGTACAGCTGAAAGGAATGGAAGCAGAGATGAAAGAATGAAAAGTTAACATACACACGAAAAGCTTTCAGGATTGGCTTGATCCCTTATTAGCTGTTTTTTTTTTTTTTTTCCCCCTTCTGTCCTACTCTCCATCACTTGTACATAGGAGCAAGGGCTCCTTCGTCTCAACCTCAGCCCGCAGGAAAGTCGGCCTTGCTCTAAGCGAGGCGGCCCCTCAGCTGACTGTCTAATTGCAGAGGTATCACTGTGTCAAATGACTAATAGAGTTTCCCTTTCCGTCGCAAATCTGCCAGCAGGAGCGCAGCCACAATTTGTTTACTCCATGCCCAAGCCAAGGGAATACAAAGATAGACCAGTCTCTTTATTTATTCTCAAACACAATTTCACGCTGCCAAAGTGTTAGGTGTGAGAGGTGTTAATGAAACATGCATGTGTTTATGTGACTGCTGGCACATGCGTGCACACGTACACACACACACACACACACACACACACACTTACCACGCTTTATGATGTACCTAATATTTTGTCAAGCAGTAAAGTAAGTTATAGTTCTGCAAGCTTTCAGAATGCCAATGTATGTTTTAATAAGCTGTCAACTGATTTTTGGGATAGAAAATAATAATAACTCTAACATGGCTGAACTACTAATTTACTTAGAATTTTACTTTAGGAAGTAGAACAGCTTGCTGTGAGATTTTCTAATAAAAGAAAGCCTCCCTGCAACTTCTTCAGAAGAATACAGCTGAACCCAGTGACTCTTTGCTCAAGGACAGAAACATTTTCAGAGAGCAAAGAGGCACACACACATTACACACACGTGTGAATTCTTTTGTATCTGAAAGATATTTGCACCTTTGTGATAGTTGAAGGCCAGGCATTTAGGTTCTGGCTAAGTCAATCTTCATACTAGTGTATTCACTGTTTGATAGGTTTGATATGACATTAATAAGTTTGGCACCTGCTTCATACCATCTTTCTTTGAAAAAGGGATTTGTGATTAAATATTGGCCTGTTTTTATGTTATTCATATTTTGCACCAAACTTGTTTTATCGGGATGTTATGTCATAGAGCAACACAAAATATCGCATATTTGGATAGTGGAAGGAAAATGTAATTTGTGTATAATCATTTAGTCCCTTTGTCTTCTGAAGTCACATAGTTAGTAAATAGACTACACTTTTAACTGTCACCCCAAAAAAACACTTGCATGTAAATCAGTGGGTTCATGAGGTCACCAGCATCATCATGACAGTAGAGAGACTTTAATCTTAGTATAAAAGTGGCTGCTCTTCAAAAGGCTAAGGGGTTTTCTTACAGAACAAGCACAAACAAAAAGGAACATAGCAAACGGCTCAGAAGGAAATTGTATTAATGTTTAATGTTGTGGCACAAAACAATAAAAGTTTGAAAATCTTGTAAGGAACAGTTTGCTCCATCGTCTTAATACGGGAAAAAGTCACGGCTCTCCATCTAAATCGACAAGCTAGGCAAGAAGAGCAGTGGTGAGAATTGATGTTTGAAAGGGGGGGAAAATATAATAGCTGAAGTCATTATTTGCTACAATTGACGGAAATATTTTTTTAAGGAGAGGCTCTTGTAAGATAAGACCAAACTGTAACTTTATCGGCTGACATGCAAAATACAATAACTAGGTCACTAATCACATGATAGTGATAGTTATTTTTCCTCAAAAAAAGTGATCAGAGTTGATTGAAAGATAGATGGAACTGGAAAAAAAAGTGGAATTCTGGAAGGGGACCTATGAGAGGCTGCAAAAGAGTTGATACCAAGACTCATCTTTCAGCAGGACAGCAACACTGTGGATCAAGCCGTGTTTATGTGGATGAATGGCACAGAGTTCAGACCGAAATTTAATTGGAAATCTATGGCCAGACTTGAAAGATGATGCTCACATCTAACCCGATTGAGCATGAGCTCCAAAGAAGAATGGGTAGATGGTGTAAAACTCATAGAAGCATAAGCTAAAAGGTTTCCAGCTGTATCTGGTGGTTCAGCTAACTACCTAATATAAAGGCATATGACACTTTACAGTTGTTTTATTTGCTAATGAGTTTAATCACACACAAATACAAAGCTTTAAAGCTTTTTTGTTGCAGCATAAAATGTGGCAAGGTTCATGCCATGTTAATCGTTTTGCAAGGCATTGTAAGATGTTTCTATCTTGTTTTATTATCAGAGATAAACAGTTACAGTGACACAAATCCCAATGAAGGTTGCATTAGCTTTAAAGGTCAACTCATTTGTCAGAAGACTCTGTCAAATCAAGTAGCACAGCCAGTTTTATATGGAGTATAAATGATGATTAGAAATGGAAAAAAAAAAAAAAAAGTAGTAGCTGGAAGTTGCATGCACATTAACCACATCCAAAAACCAAAACAAATGAGCTAAGAAAAATGTCATGGCTGTGTTTCTTTCTCCTTCCATATCTACATTTTACCCCCACTTGCCTTCTTAGTTTCCTTTTTCACTCTTTTAACCAATAATATTCATCTCCACTGGTCACAGCTCAAGCTACTGGATAAAAATATTTGACAGGCCACTTTTTTCTGTGAGACCTTTTTTTTTTTTTTTTTTTTGCCTTTTCCTCCTTTTGCCTTTTTTCCACTCCTTTTTTTGCTCTGGGGTTTGTCCTATTTGGCTGTCACGTCTCTCGGTGAGTGCACACTGAAACTGGTAGTGTTAGCCTAAAGCCCTGGCTACTAATGAGACGTTGAGAAGGACAGACTCGCCACGGACACTATTTAAAGAGTATAGAGAGAACTTGCCCCTTATGAGAGTGACTCTGCCCCATTACCTTCCTATACCACTGTTCTCTCTCACCGCTGTTAGCTTTTTCAAGATGCTCTTCTATCCCTCGGTTTTTAGCTGAAACATTTTCTTTTTCTTCTGCCAAATTGTTTAGATATTTTATCAAATTTGGGGCAATAATACAATACCTGAAGCAACAATTATTCTCCTTTCATGTTGAGGAAAATGAAGAGACACCAGTTAACTTAACAGTCATGTTTTTGGACTGAGGGGAACCTCAAGTGAGCCCAAGACTTTCTCACGGCAAGGCAACAGTGCTAACGACTCTGCCGTTCAGCCCTGCCAGCATAACTCAATGACTGAAAATATTTGTTGTCTTAAACAAAAATCAACAAAAAGCGGCTTGTTATGTGTTTGTGATAGAGGGTATCCTCAAGTCTCTTACAGATGAGGCAGGTCAGAAATGTGTGTGTTTGTGTGAGTGAGAGGGCTGAAATAGAGCTATATCAGGGCTGTGAAGGTCAAACAAATGCCAGCTCTCAAGACGGCACTAAAGAGCAAGTTTGTCGGTCACATAATGATGAGACACTCAGCCATAGCACACACACTCACGGACACGCACAACCCGACGTTCTTTCTTTCTTTTTTTTTTTTCTTTTTTTTTTAAATTCATGGTCTTCGTGTGTGTGTGTGTGTGTTTAAGGTGAAGTGTTTGCGGCCCATTCTGTGCGATTACTGTTTGTCAATCAGACATTCCCTCTGATTGTGAGACCAGACTCGTTGGCTGGTGTTAGTGTTAATCACATGACCACACATTGATTTCCATGCTGCGAGTTATCACTCAGTTCCTGAAGAAGAGATTTACGTTGCTTTTACGTGTGTGTGTGTATGTTTCTGTGTCGTAGTCTGCAGATAGCTTGGTCTGAATGACAGATGAGAGGTTCCTCCTTCACACAGTTTGTCTCCCTGTTTACAGCCGGAGCAACAAAAGCCCCTAGACCCACATTAACATCTTGATTTATCACCGATCCTAAACAATGTAGAGGCAAGAGGAAAGCTGCTGTGTCTGCGCTGGCTGTTTACATCTCTAAGCAAAACCAGATTTGGTTTGCAGCTCTAATGAACTATGATGTTGTGTTTTATTATTCTTAAACGTACTACTTTATATATTTTTTTTTCCAGGTTATTCACATTTCGTGAATACCCTAAAATGCATTCTTTCTAGATGATAATTGGTCCTTAAAATGATGCCATAAAAAAAGGATGCTGAGGAAATATTAAATCTAATCACATCAAATCTTAAACTAGGGATTTTTAAGTGTATTTTTCTCATTAACTATTCAGAGCATTAAAATTGACTTGTCTTTCAATTAACCTGTTGAAACCTGCATTTCCTCTCCTTTCCTATACTTGCCTTTTTGTCCTTTCTTCCTCTCCTTCTCCTCCCTCTTTTCCTGTCCTGTATAGAGCTGATGATGCATGTCCATAGCCACGTCCGTGACCTAAGTTATGTCCTTTGTCCCTACTTTGCCCCCATAGCACCCTCTTCCCCTGGTGTCGACTCCACCCCTTTGCAGCGAACAGGAAGTCACGGCACCGGCACAGGCAGCTACAGCCGTGGCGGGACCAACAACTATGCCACGGTGGGGCCAGGATACACTTCAAGCGCCGGTGGAGGAGGCGGAGATGTTTACGGGTCGGACCCTTACGTGGCGGACCCCTACCGCACCCTGCAGTACTGCCCCTCGGTGGTGGAATCTCCTTACAGCAAGTCCGGGCCAGCCCTGCCGCCTGAAGGAAGCCTGCAACGTTCACCTTCCATCGATTCCATTCAGAAAGACCCGAGGTAGGATAAAAGCCGTGATGTCCAGTGAGCTCCACTATGTGCGAGTGTGAAGAGAAAGTTTAAACATCACACATGAAATTGTACTAACATTTTACAATATTTGTCAAGGTGCATCTCAGAGAAATAGGGATGTGTGTTCCAGTGAGGCCTGTTTGTTGGATTTTGCAGTTATTAAACTACGTTTCATCAAGCCCGCCTTTTTGAATTAAAATTAGTTTTTATTGGTCTGTTGTAATGTTCCAGTCTTCTAAGAAATGAAATGTCCCATTAGCCGTAAGTTGAAAATCACGGTAATTACCAGAAACAGAGGGGTAACAACACCAGTGTGTGCTAATCAGAATGATGTGTTGTTTAATTTAGTGAATTAATTTCCTAAAATTAATGAATTTTTCAACAATATTCCAGTTTTCTGAGATGCACCTGCATATGCTAATCAGAACCACGGTTGACATGGGGGAAGAAAATCTACTCTCATAACCAAAACATTATTTTCACATCAACATCTTTTGAACAACAGTGACTCACTGCACTAGCATGAAAATGATAGAATAACTAACCTGCAGAATGATCTGTTACTCCCTAAGCTGGAAAATCTTTGCCAAATGCTTGATTGAACCAATCAAAAATCCTTATTTGATAAAATACAAAAACGTTTTTTTTTTTTGTTTTTTTTTTACAACACACAGAGGGAGCAGAAAACCACCATACTGCAGTGTTTTTATATAGAAGATATGTTTTTGTTGCAGTGTGTAAGGATAACTCCTAAGTACACACCAGTTCATTAAGGTACAAAACGGTGCACTGATATGTTAAATGGAACAGGTTGTGTTAAGAGGTATCCTGAAGAAGTAAAAGTAAAGTAAAAAAAAACAAAGCTGAGCATTTCAGAGTGTTAGAAATATGCCTGAAATGCCGTGGTTAGAATAATTCAGTTAAAAAGTAAAGAGTTCCCAATCACGATATTTTGTCCCCAAGACTGAATCATTTAAGTGTTTACCAAGTCAGTTGCATTCTGGCATCTGCATTTTCAAAGAACCTACTTGCAAAATTGCACAAAACAGCTTAGTATGTAACATTGTATATAGCTTTATTAATCTGCAACTGGTGTAAAATCTTAAAAGGTAGAATGACAAGTGAGAAAAGAAATTTAAATCATTCAACTAATCCAATAATGACCCTAAAGCCAGTGCTTGAGATCCGAGCATGGCGTTGCTGTTAAGAGCACTCATGTGTTTATTCCCATACAATGAACTTTGCCACGAAACAAATCCATGTGTCATATCAAGCTTCACTGTTAAGTGTACAGTAATTCATATAGACAAAAAAAAATAAACCTAAGGCATCAGAGTGTGTTGCTTCCAGTCACACACCAGTTGCTATAGAAGCTCCTTTCATCTTCTTTAATGTCATGCTGGGTGTAAAAGAGCCCTACTGGGCTGTGATCACTTTTATCCTCTTGTCTCCTCAATTAAGCAAAGCTCGATCTCCATCTTTATTTATATATATTTCACTGGACTCTTGATGTATAATTCCTTTAATTAAAGCAGGAGAGTGAGTGAGACGTGTGGATCAAATTTCAGCAGCAGCTATCAGTCACAGGAAGAGGCAAAGAATGGGGAGACGGAGAATGAACAGGATCAGAAGACAGGAGAGTGTCTGCAAAATGTATGCCAAAAATGACTGAAGGATATCTATGTAGCACAATAAAGATTTAATCAGCTGCAAAATTTGTCGGTCCTCTAAATAAATAAATGTTTTACTGATATGAATTTTTATGAATTGTGATAAATATAGATGCAATAAATTCCACTGTCTAGAGGGTGTATTTCCAGGATTGATCAAAATATAAATTGTATTTATTGAATAAAATGTATACAAGATATCATGGACACATATGTTTCATAAAAATTGTGCTAGGTTTTTATTTTTGTGTACAAAGAAAATCTCTGTTTGCTCTTTTAACTGGAGAAAATTGGAAAAAAAAATTAGTTTAGGACTTGCAGAATGAAATTTATTTAGTAGTCATATTGTAATTTTTATTTCATTACAGATGTATCTCAGTAAATTAGAATCTTATTGAAAAGTTAATTTTATCCACTAACTCAGTTCACTAGGTAAAAAAAATATTTATAGATTAATAAAACACAGATGGATGTTTCCAAGTCTTTAGTTTTGTTAGCTATCATGATTTTCCACTTATAGCTAAACAATTAGCATGTTACACCAGACAAATATAAAAAAACAAACATTTAATACAGAAATGTGGCCCTAATAAAAATGAAGGTTTAACACTTGTTTTAAGGTTACTGTTTTCAAAAGTTATTTTTAATTTGACAGACAGGCATCATCAAATTTGCAGAGATGTTTTTGCACATGTTGGCAAAACTGAATCTATACTATTCTACACCTTCCCAATTTTTGCTCAGAAATAGCTCTTTTGTATGGACACATCCCGCAGAGCTAATTAATTTCACATTGTATTAAAAGTTAAATCATAATAAAAGCATCACGAAACAGAACCAGATGACAAGCAGTTGGCTTGGATTTGTTGCGTCGTCCTATTAATTTTGGCCTCCCATGAACTGCAAGGGTAAGACAGAGCGCAGGAAAGTTGAAAACAAAATATGGTAATGAGTGAATTTCATTACAATGCTAATTTACAATGCAAGATACTAAACCCCTGTAAACAAAATTAACCTTTATCTAATGCACTGAAACTGCCAGACGAAAATGCAGATATGCAACATCCTGACTGTTCCTAATATGATTAATCAATTTGGTCAGTGTTCTTGTAATTGTTGACCATGTCTAGACACTGAGTGACTTTAGAGTAACTTTCATTTATTATAGACATCGTATAAATTATTGTGTGTGCGGTTTTGTGCACGGTGAGTTAGTCAGATGATTTTTAATAGACATTAAACATAGGGGTGTCCCTAACAACAGCTATTGTAGTAAACAAAATTAAATCTTAGAATAATTTAAATAACTTTTTTTTCTTTTTTCTTTTTTGTTTTGTTTTTTTCTTTATGTAGATTGTGTTCTAATTTTTTCATGTTATATCAAAGGAAATGTAAACAAACATTCACACAAATATATGCATAAAGCTTATGTAGCATGCTGCATCACCAGCAGTACAGAAATGAATAAAAATAAGCTCTTGTTTATTTATTAACAAGTAAGAAATACAGGGAATTGAGGTTATATCTGGAGATAAACAAAAATGAGCAACTCGACAGGAAAAAGAATCTGCTTGTGTTTATAAAATGTGATATTTGGAAACGGCAACATTTTTCATTCATCTCACAAATAACACAATTATCTGTGTGCGTCGTTTATGAATTTTCTGGTTTAGATTAGATTTATTTGGATATTTACATTATCTCCATAGCTAGGCAGATTTGAAATACGATGAAGCAAAATGGATTTGGTTGACTTTACAAGCTCACCAAACATGCATTTAAATGTTTCCATAAGCACTTCTGCAGGAAAAACCCCCAAACATATCAAACGGGAAATGTGTCCAACCTTATAAAGTGAATTTAACAGCTTTAAAATATTATGATAGACGTGTCTATACTCTTTGGTCTTTGTCTGTGCAGATGCTAATCACGTCTCAGGGATAGGGTGGGGAAATCATTTAAATGGTGGCTTTGCTCCTCCACATTGAAGGGAGCGAGTTAAGATGGTTTGAGCATCTAATTGGGATTCCTTCTGGATGTCTCCCTCCGGCAGGATTTCAATGCTCATCCCATCTAGAGTAGAACCTGGTGCAGACATAGAACTTCATGGGGAGGACTACATGTACCTTTTAGCATTGGAATGCTTCGGGGATCCCCTAGAATGAGCAAAAGACAATGGATGTATAGAGGGATAAAGGGCTGGATAGCCCTTTAACTAATTTGGTTTTTATCATCTTATTCCTTCTAGAGTAGGGTTTTCTAGACATCGCCTTGACCTCCATGTTTATCATGTTGCTCCTTGTGCGCTGAATTTTGACTTGAGAAAACATAAACTAAAATCATATTGACATCCGCTTATTATTTTTTCTTCATTTGTTGATATTTGGTCCCAATTGTCTTTATTTTAGGGTGTTTCTATGAGAACTTTGTGACTCCCTCGGTGTTATGAGTAACATAAAGCCTCGCAAACATTTGACTTCAGACCCATTGAGGATAACCGTCATCTGGAAACAACCTGGGTCTCTGCCTAAACTTTTGCATTCCACTGCACAATTCTGTTAGCGTGCTTAATATTATTGAATCGGAGCCATGTGTTACAGTTCTCTTTGTCATGAGGTTAAATTGCCTCCCACTCAGACTTCACTCTTACTCTTGCCGTAATTGGATCTGGCTGAGCTAACATGAAATGCTAAATGAGTTAGCAGATATTAGAGACAAGGAATACTCTGAGTGAGGGCAGAGGTTATGTGTGCGTCGAGCAATGTGTTTGTGCTGCTAGGACCGTGAGAAAGAGTGGAAGATGTGTCTTTAGGACGAAATTGAGTTTAATATGGTTTTTCGGTGTGCTCCGTGTATTTTTGTGTATTGCACAGAAATGTCTAAGTGTGTACTGCAACCAATTCAAACTGTACATCAGTAGGCATGATGACAGCAAAGCAAACACAGCAATAACCACTGATGGGTTGGAGTGAAAAAGAGACACTATAAAGACGGAGGTGGAACATGGATGAGAATAAGACAGGAGGAGGATGGGAGGAATTGGGGAAAACGAAACCAGAGGGTGGGAAGAAGAAGAAGATACGGGAAAAAAGAAGAAAGAGGATCTTTCACTGAGGGAAAGTCAGAAACATGGGGGAGGATTTTAAAAGGGCTGCAGATAAAATAAAAGCTGATAGCTAGATGACGATCACAATTTGAAGAACTTTGATAAACACAAAAAGTGAGGAGATACTTGTGCAAATGACTGTCGTTCTGATGTTTTTTTTATGCGTTCCCCTTACTGGTTCTCCCTATCGAAATAGATGTTATAAATGATGC